GTGAGGGACATTGAGGGGCAGTGGGGGCAGTCGCGCTGTCAGCGGTGGGCGGCGCCGGGGGAGCCGCGCTCGGGGACAGCTGGCGGCTCAACGGCAGCATCGAGAACGGTGCCTAGTTCTGCAAATAACAGCTGCGGAGCAATCGTTATGTTTGGACAACGTGGGAAGGGCCATTGTTCACAAATTGTTCTCTTTAACAACACCTGCATGCGCAGATAATAATCCATTGTCGGTCCCGGCTTCAAAGACAAAAGGCAGCCGCGGAGGGAGGAGTCAGCAGCGCCTAGAGATAACAGGACCACTTTGCAACGCGGGAGAGTGCAAACGAGGACTCCAAGTCGCATCCCGGATCTGCCTTGATGGTCCCTCACCGCAGGGGTCTCCTTCCTTTCCTGGCAGGGAGCGCGACCTCTTTTATCCTAGCAGGCCACCACCTTCGCGGCAGCAAACAACATTTCCTATGCAGTTGCAAAGCGTGCTCCCTTGCAATCAGCGATCAATACTGGCAAAGTGGCTCCAAGATAGGAAAGGTCGCACGTGTATCTGTAAATTGAAAGGTTTATGAGGCGCAGGTGGTCGTGCTCCGCGGAGATTGTGGTATTAGCATGTCAAAGACAAAATGGAACCAAGGTATACAGGCACAGAGGCTCTTCCTGGAGCCCCGGGAAAGCTTGGCACGACCCTCTTGAGCCTTCAGTTTAAAATGAAACGCTGGTGCCAGATGTGGCCACCACATTGCTGATAAGTCCAGTACCTTCCATTTGTGCAAAGCTTTGTGATTTAAGGTTAAGTAGTTTTGCTTACTTCTCTCATTTGAGCTTTATAAAGACAGTGTGAAATGTGTAGTGAGTAAAAGCCCTATTTTAACAGAAAAGGAACCAAGGGACTAAGTTGGAACTTGAATCTGGGGTCTACTGACCCCATGCCTGATGTTCCATTCACTACAGTACTTGGTACAACTGCACATCAGGTTATTTGGATTTTATTTTTTTTCTTTTTTGGCCTTTATTCAGTAGCTACTACCAGATTAGGTAATAGGCCCATAGAGACATGAGACATATATTCCCTACCCTTGCTGTGCTGTTCAACATAGTAGCACTAGCCACACATGGCAATTTAAATGTAATGAAAATTCAGTAAAATTTAAAATTAAGTTTATCAGTACAACTAGCCACATTTAAAGGGCTCAGAAGCCATATGTGCCCAGTGGCTACTGTATTGGGCAGGGCAGAAACTTCTACCAAACAGCACTGTGTCTAGAGGCTAACAATCTAGTGAAGATTAAAGACAGTCTCACTTCTTTTCTGTCCTGTTTGCTACGTCCTTGCAGTTCATGTGTTCCTCGGTGCATGTGTACCTCTTACTTTCTAAAAGACAGCCTGAGTAGTTTCCAGCTTAATTGAGGGCAAATGTACATGCAATGAATGCATCCATTCTCATGCACAAGTCAATGAGTTTTGACTAAAGTGAACAATTGTGTAAACACCACCATCATCAAGACACAGGGATTTATATTTTAGCAAAATATTCCCTGTGTCCTTTCCCACTCGTTCTGTTACCGGAAAGGGGTCCTGATCCAGACCCCAAGAGAGGGTTCTTGGATCTCGCACAAGAAAGAATTCAGGGTGGGTCCGTAAAGTGAAAGCAAGTGTATTAAGAAAGTAAAAGAATAAAAGAATGGCTACTCCATAGACAGGGCAGCCTGAGGGCTGCTGGTTGCCCATTTTTATGGTTATTTCTTGATTATATTCTAAACAAGGGGTGGATTATTCAGGCCTCCCCTTTGTAGACCATATAGGGTAACTTCCTGACATTGCCATGGCATTTGTAAACTTATGGCACAGGTAGGAGTGTAGCAGTGTGGACTCCCAGAGGTCACTCTCCTAGTCATCTCAGTTTTGGTGGGTTTTAGCCAGCTGCTTTATTGCAATCTGTTTTATTAGCAAGATCTTTATGACCTGTATCTTGTGCTGACATCCTATCTCATTCTGTGACCTAGAATGCCTTAACCATCTGGGAATGCAGCCCAGCAGGTCTCAGCCTCATTTTACGCAGCCTCTATTCAAGATGGAGTTGCTCTGGTTCAAATACCTCTGACAATTCCTCTCCCTAACTGTTGTTCCAGGCAAGACTGCCCTATTTTCTGTCATTATATATTAAATTTTAGTTTCTAGAGTTTTAAATAAATGAAATTATATAATATTTATTCTTTTATCTGGCTTCTTTCCCTCAGCATAATGTTTTTGAGATTCATCCACGTTGTTGCATGTATCAGGAATTCCTTTTTATTGCTGAGTAATATTCTTTTGTATGGATATATCACAGTTTGTTTAGGTACTCACCTGTTGATAGACATTGGGGTTGTTTCCAATTTTGGCTATTATGAATAAAGTTGTTATGAACATTTACATACCAGCTTTCTGAGGATACATTTCCATTTCCTAAAAGTGGAATTGCTGGGTCATATGGTAAATATATGTTTAACTTCATAAGAAACTGCCAAAGTGTTTCCAAAATGACTGACATTTTGCATCCTGTTTGGCAAGGCTGCAGGATACAAGGTCAACATGCAAAAATCAATTATATTTCTATAGATAGCTATGAACTGTCTATTTCAGAAATGGACTTTTTAAAAGCACCACTTACAGAAGCATAAAAATATGCAATAGGGTGAAATTTAGCAAAATATGTATATGCTCTGAACACTGAAAATGACAAAATACTACTGAGAAAAAATTTAAAAGACCTAAATAAATGGAGAGAAATATACTGTGTTCACAAATTGGAAAGTTGATCTTCTTTTTGTTTTTTTACTCATTGAGAGAGGGTTCTTGCTATGTTGCCCAGGTTGGTCTCAAACTCCTGGACTCCAGCAATTTTTCCCACTTCAGGCTCCTGAGTAGTTAGGATTACAGGTGTGAGCCACCACACATGGCTCTAAATCTTCTTTTTTCCATGACAGGGTCTCACTCTGTCTCCTAGGCTGGAGTACAGTGGCACTATCATGGCTCACTGCAGCCTCAACCTCCCGGGATCAAGCACTCCTCCCACCTCAGCTTCCCGAGTAGCTGGGACCATGGGCATGTGCCACCATACCCAGTTAATTATTTTTATTTTTGGTAAAGATGGAATTTCACTATGTTGCCCAGGCTGGTCTTGAATTCCTGGGCTCAAATGATCCACCCACCTCAGCCTCCCAAAGTGCTGAGATTACAGGCATAAGCCGCTGCACCTTGCCTTGATCTTCTTAAGATGTCATTTCTCCTCAGATTTTTTTGGTGTGTGTGTGTGGTGAAACTGACAAACTGATTCTAAAGTTTACCTGGAAAACCAAAGGATCTAAAATAGTCAAGATAGAAAAGAACAAAGTTGGGAGATTTACAGGACTGAATCTGAAGACAGAAAGCTATGATAATAAAAATGGTATGGTTCTGGTACAAAGAGAGTCTAGACAGAAGGTATTGGAGGAGAGCTGGAGGAGGAAAAGATTCAGAAGTTCTATGGGAGAGAATCAAAATAGCAGCTTTGGGCTGGGGATTTGTGGGGAGAACAGAAAAGCATAATGGGGATTTTTACTAATTTGCTTGCTGTCTCTGGTATGTGATATAATTCTTCCTCTGGTGGCAACCTAAATCTTCAGTAAAGTTCTTAAGGTCAGAGGATGCTTAGGTTAAGTAAAATTTCCATAGAAATCCAAGGAAGGCAGAACCAAGATGGTAGACTCAGATGAAGGAAGGGCGATTGAGGGGCAGGGAGTATCAAGAGGACATAATAAGATCCAGAAGTATAAATACCACAGTAAGTAAGTGCCTGAAGTAAGATGAGGCAGTTTATAAAAGCATGGGAAGGCTTTTGAATGTTCCAGGCTGTGGAAGTGGAGTTCAGACCATAGCCAGGTTCTCTATGCCTAGGTAAAGACTTTTTTTCTTTTCTTTTTTGAGACAGAGTCTCGCTCTGTCATCCAGGCTGAAGTGTAGTAGCATGATCTCAGTTCATTGCAACCTCCGTCTCCCAGGTTCAAGTGTTTCTCCTGCTTCAGCTACCTGAGTAGCTGGGATTACAGGCGCTTGCCACCATGCCCCGCTAATTTTTGTATTTTCAGTAGAGACAGGGGTTCACCATGTTGGCCAGGCTGGTCTTGAACTCCTGACCTCAAGTGATCTGCTCGCCTCAGCCTCCCAAAGTGCTGGGATTACAGGCTTCAGCCACCGTGCCTGGCCACACCTTTTCTTATGTGAAGAAGAATTTCTGAATCCAGGGCTGGTATCTAGTACAACTCTAGGGGCACGATTTTCAGTTTCTCTGAATTCCAGTGAAAGCTGGTCCCTGGAGATGTGCAGCCCACCTCGGCAGCCCACGTTGACTGAGTCTGAGAACGAGCATTTTACAAAAGGTTATGGAGTGTGAAGTTTACAGTACAGTCTTCAAAATTACATAGTCTCTTTTATGTTCCTCAGCTGTGTCCGTAAAATACGTTCCTTACTTTCCAAACTTCTCAAAGACCCACTAGGAAGGACAGGGAAGGGACACAGTGCAGCCACATTATAAAATGGGGCTCACAAAAGTAATTCTCTTTTTTACCTTCAATCTTCTCCAATTTGAGGAGTCAAAAAAAGGAAGGAGCTCTCTTATTGGCACAGCCTGGATTAAACTGCATGTCTAGTTCTATTGTACGTAGGCTTCAATTTCATATTTCAAACCACTTACGAAGTGTTCTCCATCTGGACATTCCAAATAACGAGGGTACGTCCAATGCAGAAAGTAAAGCACTTTTACTGCTTTTCAATATTCAGCATTCATTTCTCCTTCTATAGTGTCCGTACCCTGATTTCCCTCTGGAGAATCACCCTCACCCTCACTCCGGGTGGAGCTGGCTCTTCTCCCAGTATTGAAGTAATGCACTGTCACTTGGCACACACACAATGAGGTGCGTCACAGTCCCTGGTTTTCTGATTGGTTCCCAGATGGGCACATGACCTAAGTTGGGCCAATCAGAGCCTATCTCATAACTCTGTGGAAAAGACTTCCTGCAAAGTCATGCTAAAGCGAGAAGCATTGTCCATAACTCCTTTCTCCCCCCTTAAGTTAGTTTAGGTCCAGTTTTGTATTACTTCAAAACAAAACAGCTGTAGCTGAAACACTGAACTTTTTAGTTTCTCCTCTAAACCCATCCCAACTCCCTACATTTGTTTGTTGTTAAAGTGGCATGACTATTGTTTTGGTCTTAGGATAAGTTAACTGCCAAAACAAATGACTCCAAAAAGTGAGTGGCTTACCACAGTAAGCCATGGAAAGCTTCCGTGGTGTTCCTGTTTTGTGGGCAGGCCTCCACGTAGCCATTCAGGAACCCAGGCTCCTTCAGTCTTGTGGATATGGCCTCCTCTTCAGCCTCAGCAACCTCTTCATCAGGAGAATGGGGGAGGAGAGCAGAGAAGCATGTGTGGGAGGGTGTCATGTACCCGGCGTGGATGGGGAGCACATTACTTCTGTTCACAATCTTTGCTCAGAACTCAATTATATGGTACATCCAACCTCATGGGAGGCTGGAAGAAGTGTCCTTGCTGTGGGCCCAGGAAGGAGCAGGAACTAAAGCGAGGTATGTGTAGTCATTGTTATTTGTTCCCCTACTTGAGTTATTGTATTCAGCCAGCCACCAAGTCCTGTTAGTTTTTACTTAGCAATGTTTCTGTCATCTTTCCTTTCTCCCCACTTCTCTCTGCCACTTTTTGAATCCAGCCCAATGCTTTCTCTCCTCTGTTTCATCCCATTCTGCATTCCCCTCTGCCAGACTCCTCAAGGGCAGTTGCTGCATTTTCCAGCTTTGTATTCTCAGTCGCTTACAGGCACCTCATAAGCATCAAGAAATATTTGCGCTGTGAAAACCTGACAGACTCATCTTCCTTAAACACCAATTTCAGCATGTCATTCCCTTGCTGAGAAATCTTCAGGAGATCTTGTGTGTGCCCATCAACCCCATATTTGTCTGCCTGCCTTTAAGGACACAGGCCCTTATTTCCATCGTACTCTACAACCTTCTCCTCTGCACCCCGGGCCCAACCCCAAACCAAGTGGGTCCTGGCTTCTGGGAGCCTGAACACATCACTGTGTCTTTCCTGAAATACTCTCCTCATTTTCCTCCTCCCTCTGTCATTCCAAATACTGTCTCCTCTTGAGGTCTGCCCAAGCCTTGCCTCCTCCGCGAAGCTTTCCCTTTATGTTCCTGCTTTCCCTGACAGCCCCTCCTCTGAACTCTGGCAGCCGGTATTGTTGGTAACCAGGATACTCTGTCTTGGCTTCGAGAGAGCCCTGAATGCAAATGATGTCCCCTGTTGTTAGACTCTTTGGACTCAGATGCCTGACATGAAAAAGAGACCAAGAAGGAGTTGCCTTGATTGCAGGGATGTGAGCAGAGATCAGTCCGTTAGTACCACACCTCCTGCTCCAGTATCTTCTTGCAGCCCTCTGAAGAGTAGAGTTTAAAAACTATTGATTAAATCCAATCCTTTCATTTTACAGATGAAGAAACTGAGGCATCCAGAGAGGCAAAGTTGCCTAAGATCCTGGCTGGTTAGTGTCAGAATCAGAACCTACACCTCTTGACTCTTAGTGCTGGTCTCCTTTCCTCCCAGCTGCCTCCTCTATATTCTAGCTTGCTTTTGGTCTCTGGTACACTGTGTAAGAGATAATAAACACTACAGGGCACAACTTGCCTGGTAGCTGTATCCATGGCTGAAATTTACACGATAGTGAATTCCCCCATTCATACTTATTGATTTGAATTCAACTTCATAGCAGAGAGTTTGAAATCTAGTGAAGTTAGCCAAGATCTGTGACTAAAACTATGAACTCATTTTATATACATATAGACAAAGATTAGAAGGGAACAATGAAAAATGAAACTAATTAATTTGATATCTGGCAGGACCTGGGATGAGTTTCTTTTATTTGTGCCAGATGTGAGGTGACAATGTAATGAAATTAACTGGGGTCCAAATATTCTCTATGCTTTTAATGCAACTGAGGAGAACCTTTTTTTCTTTTGCTCCGATTTCAGAGTTTACTGATTCCAGTATTCTATCTTCTTTGAAGTTTCCCTCTAATCTTTCTTTTTTCCATTCAAAACTTCCTCAGGCATTTGAGAGTCTAATTCATACCAGAAATTTATGATTAATAATATCAGTAAAATGAAACTTGTAATTATTTACACCATAATTTTAAACATGGTGGAGCATTTGCAAAAGCAAGGACTTTGCCTGAAGGGTTTTAATGTGCAGACTCCACATCAATATGCAACATGAATAAATCCCTTTAGATAAGATGACTGTTGGATCTCAAAGGTAGAAAATTCTTCAGTTATGTCCGGTAATAATATAAATCAATTTTTCAAAGAGAGAACATCCCCAAAGGACAGAGAACAAAGGCAAAAAGGAGGCTGCTTTGAAAACTGGCTTGAAAGAGATATGGAGTAGGTATGGCATGTGTCTGAGAACAGGCCATGCTCAAGCCAAGGGGTATGAAGATGCTGGCATCTCAGAGCTGACAACTTTGGAAAGAGAAGATTCCATGCTTTTTCTTCACTAGAATCTGGGACAAGGACCTGGAGGTGAATGTCTGTGAGAGAGACTGGTTTTATGTATTTTTTTTCCAACTCTTTTTTTTTTTTTTTTTTTTTTTTGGAGTCAGAGCCTTAATCTGTTGCCCAGGCTGGAGTGCAGTGGTGTGATCATGGCTCACTGCAGCTGTGACCTCCTGGGCTCAAGTGATCCTCCCACCTCAGCCTCCCAAGTAGCTGGAACTACAGGCATGGGCCACCATGACCCACCTATCAGTTCTTAAGAGGCAAGTTTGAAGAACTATTTATTATAAGGAAAATTTGCCAGATCACAATCTGGTACCAAAGGGGCAGGGCTGGGAAATGCTGCTTTCAAATACTTTAAATCACAAGGAAACTTAAAAGTGACTACAAGTACTTCTTATGGTCCTTGCTTAGAATCTTGTTGCAGAGACCTTGCTGGATGGGAGCGAAGGCTGCATGGCAGGTTGGGCAGTTTGTGTACTGCACAGAGGCCCAGGCTGAGGTAGTGAGTACAAAGTGCAGTCCAGCCTGGTTCCACTTACTGGGCTCTGCAATGGCATGAGGCTGTCTCAGCCCAAAGGAAAGGCAATTTCTTTTCAATTTCTTCAAAGTTGGTTTGCTAAGCCAAGTACCCACAGGGTATACTCTTTTTAAATTTGTGCAAAGGCACTGAGTAAACTCATAGTAGCCCAGAAAAGGGAAGGGGAAGCAGAAAAATATCCCCAAGCTAATGAAAGGCCAGAGGTGAACATTAGTTTTTTTGTTTTTTAGAGGTGGGATCTCACTGTATTGCCTAGGCTGGGCTTGAACTCCTGGCCTCAAGTGATTTTTCACACCTCAGCCTCCCAAGTAGTTGGTATTACAGGTGGGAGCCACTGTGCCCAGCTCTCAGAGGTAAACATTTGACCTAAGCTCAATCAAGTCATTGGCTGACTATGACCTATACAGCCTGCTCAAAAAGTTTAGCTGGATCTATCACGTGTTACTTGGGAATTTGAAGTCCAAAACACTGTAAGAAGTTACTAGTTGGAGCAGGGGGGAAAGGTGGAAAGATGCTAGGTGGTAGTTCCAGGACCCTAGCCTGCTAAATCATGGATAAATTGCTGAAGTTAAAAGCCTGCAAAGCTATGAGTGAGCAGGGGAGGCCAGCTCACAGAGATGGAGAAAGCAGCAGAAACATGGAGGGGAACAGCTCTATTTAGTGGCAGAGACCAAACAGAGGGAAGCTTGAGACTTTCTGCTACTAATGACTCTAAGGGCACCTAGATACAGAACATGCTGAAGCTCTAGTTCCCATGAGGACTGGCTGTGCCATGGTTTAGTTGCCAGATCCTGTGACATCCCTGTCTTCTTCCTTACTACTTATTTATTCTCAGAGCAACTCTGCCCCTTCCTCCCTTCACCCCTCTGCCCCAACAATCAAGTTCAGTGGATCTCTGTTCTTTCCACCCCAACAATGTGACCCATAGTAGGGGTCTGAATAGTACTTCTTGAATTGAACTGGTAAAATCTGTAAATATCATAGGGATTTTTTTTTTTTTTTTAAGGGAAAGAACAATGTAATTTGCTGTGGTCAAGTAAGGCTTCATAGAAGAACTAGAACTTTAAGGCAGGGGAAGGGAAGGGAAGGGGGAGATGTTCCAGACCTGAGATCCCGGGTCATGCCAAGGAAAAGGCTGGTTAGACACAGTAATTTGAGATTGCTTGGGAATGCTGAAGGCCTGAGAGTCCTCTCTTGATTCTTCTGGCTGCCAACAACAACCCCCCTCCCATCTCCCCAAGTCATCATTTGGATTAGTCTGACCCGAAAACTCAGAAAAGACAAAGAATGACTACTAAAGAAATCTCACTATGCCATGGAAGATGGAAAGGTAAAATTGTGCTGTAATAATCCCGCAGACAGAATAAGTGTTGTAGTGGATTATTATGTTGTCTAAAAACAGTCTTTGTGAATAGTGAATGACATTTGTGAAATTTTCGGCTATTTACTTTGCAGTGCTTCCATTTCCATTATATTTGGAGTGATAGTTTCTCTTTTCCGATACCTCCCCTCTTCCTTCAACTTGGCAGTGGGAGATAACCTGACAGGGTGTATTGAGGAATCCTTTCAAGGTACAGCCACTCAAAGTTCTCCAGAATTCTGGAAAATTCCACTTCTTCAGTTGCATTTGAGTGTGCATGTGACAGGAAGAGAGAGAGAGAATGAGACTGAATGAGAGCTAGAGAGAACATCACTGGCCAGCTGCCACGGAGAGAGACATTTGTGAAGAGGCATTTGTGAAGAAACAGCCCAAGGGTTGGGGAAATCCTTGAGGATAAAGCAAAACCCTTTAATATGCTTCAGCTTTGCAGAGCAAACCTCAGTGTGCTGGTGCACCCTTCTAAAACCTCAACTTTCATAGCATTTTGATTTTTAATATTTCATGCTAAAAAATAGGTCATATATCCTTGGTACAGCATTTAATATTTATATGTGTTTATCATGAATATTAAATGACTTTTTCACTCCTACGTCCCAGCCCATCAGGATCTTTCTTTGGAGACAACTTTTTTTTTTTTCCACTTGACTTCCAAAGATAGTTCATGTATCAACCAGCATGTATGTCCTTTTTCTTCTCCTTTTAAATGCAAATGACAGCATGCTGTGTACATCATTTTATACTGACATTTTTGTTTTTACTACTTTATATAGGAGATAAATCCAGGATTTATAGTTTGTTTTTTTTTAACAGCTACATGGTATTCCATTCCGTGAATGTGCCATCATTCGTTTAACTTGTTTCTGTTGGGAGTTATGGACTGAAGTGTGTACTTCCCAAAATTCATATGTTGAAGTTCTGACCCCTAGTTCTTCAGAATAAGACTGTATTTGAAGATAGGTCTTTAAAGAGGTAACTAAGGTTAAATTAGGTCATTGAGTGACCCCTAGTCCAGTATGACTGGTGTCCTTTTAAGAAGAGGAGATTAGGACACAGGCACATACAGAGGAAAGACCATGTGAAGACACAGGAAGATGCTGTCCGCATATTAATGGAAGACTGTGCCTGAGTCCACAAGAAAACTGGCTGATCCCAGATTCAGAGCATTGTTGAGTTTGCCTTGACTGAAGTTTCATTGCAAAAATATTGTAGGTGTACCTACAATATTTGTAGAGAGATCATCAAATGATGACAATATGTAGAGACATCATCCACCTTTACAGGAACAGAGTATATGACTGCTTCTGTGCAGTTTGCAAAGAATGTTGTGTGTCTCTCTGAGAGTTGCTTTTATAGAAACATAACACTGTTTGTGCAGGTTATTGTGGGAAGAGACAGAAAGCTTGTACCCACCTTTGAGAATGGCAGGCCACTGGTACCCAGAACACATGTTGAATGGCAGGTTGCCTTAGATCATTTTGTGTCTCTCTCCTGAAGTTGCACAGCATGTGGCAGAATTGGAAGGGGAAACACAGCCTGCTGGACTTCAAAGTGTGTGTTCTCAGCCACCTCATTTTCCTGCTTGGTGATAAAAATAACCTAGGATACTTCTGATTATTCAGTCCAGGGCACTGTCAAGTAAAATGGCAAAAAAAAAAAAAAAAAAAAAAAAAAAAAAAAATTATAAAAGATTGCTAGTTTCCTTGAGATAGGAGTTTTTCTACCCAGGCATGAAGATCTTAAGAATCCTTGAAAATTGTACATAACATTTGGGATTTATGTTAATATCTGGAGTTGTTTTTTCATGATCAGAGCCCCTAACTTCCCACAGAGTTGTAAAAGGGTCCATCTGTGCCTGTTGCCTAGAAATGTTTAGTGCTGTTCCAGAAAACCAACTGTAGATCCTCCCTTTTCCTTCCTAGGCCATTTTCCAAAACATCAACATGTAAGTTTTATTTAAAAATTTATTTAGAGGTAAATGGAAATTGTCATTGTTCTCATTTTGCTCTACAAGGAATGGAAGTGCAAAGAGGTTAAGAGGATTCAGCACCAGTGTGTTGGTCCGTTTGCATTGCTCTAAAGGAATACGGGACTCTGGGTAACTGATAAAGAAAAGCAGTTTATTTGACTCACAGTTCTGAGGGCTGTACAAACAAGGCACCAGCATCTGCTTGGCCTCTGGTGAGGCGCAGGGAGCGTTTAGTCATGGT